AGGAAATAACCGCCCAGGGGGGATGGCCACGCCGCAATCCCTTCTCCTCCATTCTCCTCTCGGGATCTTGGGCACGCACGCACACGCGCCCGGCGTGAGTTCAAGCCACCGGGTCCGGGACTCGAACCACGGTCGACTACGTGGGAGTCCAGCGACATAGCCATTATGCTAACTGCTGGTCCCTATGTGGCTTTAAGAGATTTAAAAGTATTGTTTTGGAAGAAAACATTTTTTTCTTTTTTGTCATTGTTCTATTTTTCCAGGAATCTGACGAATTAGCATTTATATGTGGTCTTACTTTTTTTTCCTCTAAGTATTTTTTTGAAAACTTACTGTGCCATACTCTGGGGATACAAAGATAATCCCACTGCCACTTTTATTTATTATGGAAGATGAGGGTTTCAGACCTAAGAAGTAGAGATTGTCTCCTGCAGGAAGCGATTCTGGGTACTGCTCCCATAGCTGACCATCTCCATGTTTCCTTAGGGGAAGGGCATCGAGGAACGGCAGCAGCTCATCAAGCAGCTAAGGGATGAGCTACGATTGGAAGAAGCCCGACTGGTGCTATTAAAGAAACTGAGACAGAGTCAGCTGCAAAAAGAAAATGTGGTCCAGAAGGTAATGTGTCCTAGAAATTAGGAGATGAGAAAAGACTGGTTTGAGGGACCAGCAGATGGTATAATGGTTATGTTGCTGGACTCCCACATAGTTGACCATGAGAGTCCCAGACCCGGTGGCTTAAACTCACACTGGGCACCTGTGCAAGCGTGCCCAGGATCCCAAGAGGAGAATGGAGGAGAAGGGATTGCTGCATGGCTGGGGGGTGATTTCTTGCTTTCTGTCTCTCTGTCTGTCCGGCGAGCACATGTGTCCTAGTAAAAATCTCTCTCTCAAAAAAAGAAAGAAAAGACTGGTTTGAGAGTTGGCTATAACAGGTACTATCAGCTGAGTGGCTTAGTCTTATTCACAGTTTCTTTGTCTCTAGTAGTAGTGGGGCTTTCTTTTGTGTTTTTTCTTTTAGTCTTTTTTTTTTTTTTTTTTTTTAAGATTTCTTTGCCAAAGGATGCATGCACTCTTTTTTTCTTTTCCTATTTTTCCTCCTGATCAACAGGAGCTTCTCCTGGTCAAGAAGAGCTTCACACTGGGACCAGCAGTTAGCGTAATGGCTGTGTCGCAGGACTCCCATGTAGTCGACTGTGGTTCGAGTCCTGGACCCGGTGGCTTAAACTCATGCTGGGCACATGTGCATGCATACCCAAGGTCCTGAGAGGAGAATGGAGGAGAAGGGATTGTGGCATGGCCAACCCCCTGGGGGGGGATTTCTCACTTTCTGTTTCTCTGTATTTCTGGCGAGCGCACATGCTCTATAGCAAAAACCTCTCAAAAAAAAAAAAAAAAGTTTCACACTGACCAGAATTTTGAACATGTATAAATGTACCAGATTTCTCCAAGTATTGGCCTTTTCCATGGTCTCATTTTCTCTTCCTTCTCCCAGACTCCAGTTGTACAAAATGCAGCATCAATTGTTCAGCCATCTCCTGCCCATGTGGGACAGCAGGGCCTATCCAAGCTTCCCTCTCGACCAGGGGCCCAAGGGGTTGAACCTCAAAATTTGAGAACATTACAGGTATGTAACCCAGAATGGGATCTTAGTGCTGGAAGGGGCCTCTCTATCTCTTCTTTGCTTTGGGGCCTTAGTTAAGGTTACGAAAGGACTGGCCACAATAAAGGTGTTATTGCTGCAGATAGTCCTGTTGGTCCTTTATGGCATGATTAGTTTTTCTTATCTAGAGAAGATGTAGTTTATGCTATAAAAGTCAGGGACTTCTAGCCACTAGTCAGGGTTTACAGTAATGGTAGACTTATCCTATAAATCATTAGATGAAACTACCAAGTCTGACTCTACTCCTATGTTTTTACTCAGCTATGTATTATAGGCAATGTTTTTCCTTTTGGATTTTGTGGAGCATTAAACCACCTGTGACTAATTTTCTCCTCTTCCCCTTTAGGGTCACAGCGTCATCCGTTCAGCAACCAATACCACCCTCCCACACATGTTGATGTCTCAGCGTGTTATTGCACCAAACCCAGCCCAACTACAGGGTCAGCGGGGCCCACCGAAGCCTGGTCTTGTACGCACCACAACACCCAACATGAATCCCACCATCAATTACCAGCCGGTAAGAGAGCCCTAATGGAAACAGAAATCTCTTATTTGTTTTTCTTACTCCAAGAGCCATAGATCTTAAGTTTTTGTACATATGGAAACTCTAGGGACAACAAGGGTGATTTGGGTGGAGCCTGAATTGAGAATAATCCCAAAAGTGAAAGCTTTGAAGAATTGTACAAAAAGGGTGGAAAAGAAAGGTTTATAATGAGGCAGCAGTCAGTTAAATTTATCCAGAAGAAAGATATAAATGAAGGCATATATAACTAAAAGCATCCCTAGTCTTTATGTTTTTTAAAAAAGAATTATTTTATTTAACTTTTAATTAATTAATTAATTTTTTTGGGGGGGGGTGCTATAGGGCACATATGCTTGCCAGAAAGACAGAGAGAAAGCGAGAAATCCCCCCCTGGGGGGAGTGGCCACACCGCATCCCTTCTCCTCCTTTCTCCTCTCAGGGTTTTGGGCATGCACACACATGCGCCTAGTGTGCGTTTAAGCCACTGGGTCCAGGACTCGAACCACGATCGACTACATGGGAGTCTAGCGAAATAGTCATTACGCCAACTGCTGGTCCCTACTTTTTTTTTTTTTTTTTTGTTTTGAGAGATTTTCACTGTAGGGCACGTGTGCTCGCCAGACAGACAGAGACATAGAGACAGAAAGCGAGAAATCACCCCCCAGGGGGGATGGTCACACCGCAATCCCTTCTCCTCCATTCTCCTCTCGGGATCTTGGGCACGCACGCACACGCGCCTGGCGTGAGTTTTAAGCCACCGGGTCCGGGACACGAACCGCAGTCGACCACGTGGGAGTCCAGCGACATAGCCATTATGCTAACTGCTGGTTCCTACTTATTTATTTTTTAATTCAACCAGAGAGAGAGAGAGAAAGGGAAAGTGAGAAGGCCGCCAGATCTGGGATTTGAACTGCTGTCCGCTATGTGGGAGTCCAGCACCCTTAACCACCATACCACCTGCTGGTCCCACCTAGTCTTTATTTTTTTTTTATTAGGAGTTTTAACTCATGGTCATTGTCATTGTCCTTCCCTATATGCCAGAGTTCTTTTCTTTTTATTTATTAGAGTTTTTTTTCCTTAGGGTGCATGCCCTCACCAGAGAGAAAGAGACAGAGGCAGAGAAAAAGTGAGAAATTACCCCAAGGGATGGCCATGCTGCAATCTCTTTTCCATTCTCCTGAAATCTTGGGTGCAGACACACACACGCCTGGCGTGATTTTCAAACCATCAGGCCCAGGACTCAAATTGCAGTCAACCATGTGGGAGTCCAGTGACATAACCACTACACCATTTGCTAGTCCCAGTATTTTTTTTTTTTTTTTGAGGATTTTTTTGCCTTAGAGTAGGTGTGCTCATTGGAGAGAGAGAGAGATAGACACGAAGATAAAGTGAGAAATCACCCCCCCAGAAGGGATGGCTATGCTGCAATCCCTTCTGCATTCTCCTCCTGGAACCTTGGGCACACACACGCACATGCAGACACAGACAGACACACACACACACACACACACACCCTTGGCATAAATTTCAAGCCCCCAGGTCCAAGACTGGAACTGCGGTCAGCCATGCTGGAGTCCAGCAGCATAACTGCTATGCCATCTGCTGGTCCCCAGAGTTCTTTTCAATGAGTAAATTGGACACCTTCTATTTTGGGAAAGCTAAATAGTCCAGATTAGGATTTGATAGTATCCTCTGCCAAAAAGCAGGAGTTGGTCCTCTCCCTCACATACCATCACTGACCCCTGTTCTCTGTTTCAGCAGTCAAGTTCTTCTGTTCCCTGTCAACGCACAACATCCTCTGCCATCTATATGAACCTTGCTTCTCATATCCAGCCAGGGACTGTGAACAGAGTGTCCTCACCACTTCCCAGCCCCAGCGCCATGACTGATGCTGCCAACTCACAGGCTGCAGCCAAATTGGCTCTTCGCAAACAGCTGGAAAAGACACTTCTGGAAATCCCACCCCCTAAACCTCCTGCTCCTTTACTTCACTTCCTGCCTAGTGCAGCCAATAGTGAGTTCATCTACATGGTAGGCTTGGAAGAAGTCGTACAGAGTGTCATTGACAGCCAAGGTAAGACTATTTCTTCCATTCAACCTCTTTAAGCAAAAGGTTGCCAAGTCTGATTGACATGGGCAGAGTAGCACAGAGTACTATGAAATGTTAAATAACCTCACCTGAATATTGCTAAACCACCTCTTACCCCTTATTTACATGTTTGAGGGCAGCATTTAAGACTTTTGTGTGTGTGTGTTAAGCTTAATATTTTTGTGTAGTTTGTTCAGTTTTTTTGGTTTATTTTGTTTTTTTTTTTTAGAATAATTTTATTAAACTTTATTTATTTATTGCCTTATTTATTTATTTTTAAATTTGACCAGAGAGGGACAGAGTGAGAGACAGAGAGGGAAAGTGAGAATGCAAGCCACCAAGTCCAGGAATCAAACTGTGGTCGACCATGTGGGAGTCCAGCACCATTAACCACCACGCCACCTGCTGGCCTCATTGTTTTGTTTTGTTTTAAAGATGAGGTCTTACCATGTCGCAGTCCTCTTGCCTCAGGCTCCTGGATTCACTGGGTTTATAGGTACCCACTAACATGTACAGCCTTTTGGTTGGACTGGAAATTGAATGTGGACCCAGTATATCTTGTGTATTTTTTGCAGCGTGTTGTTTAGGTCTTTTAGAGGATGACTAGTATGATACATGTGTAATTTGAGAAATACAACTTCTGTTTTTAAGTTTGTTATAAGGCTTGTATGTGTACCAGAGGGAGAGAGAGGAAAAGGGAGAAAGCACCCTTCAGGAGGGATGGTCAGGCCACAATCCTTTCTCCTCCAGACTCTTCTCTGTATCCTGGGTATGCATGCATACACACCCAGCTTGTTTTTCAAGCCACCAGATTCAGTACTCAAACCATGTGGTCGCCCATATGGGCTTTAGCCACCTTAACCTCCACACCTCTGGTCCCAAGAACATCTTCTCTTTTTGTTTTTTTAAAATTTATTTTTCTAGGACCAGCAGTTAACGTAATGGCTATGTCACTGGACTCCCATGTAATCGATCATGGTTCACGTCCCAGACCCACTGGCTTAAAACTCATGCCGGGCACGTGTGCGTGCATGCCCAAGATCCCGGAAGGAGAATGGAGGAGAAGGGATTGCGGCATGGCCATCCCCCCGGAGGGTGATTTCTCACTTTCTGTCTCTCTGTCCGGTGAGCGCATGCACCCGATAGCAAAAACCTCTTCAAAAAAAAAAAAGAAAGAAAGTTTATTTTTCTGTGAGAAACAGACCAACCCCTCTGGCATGGTCTCTCCATACCACATTCTACCCCCAGTTTCAGCTGGGGCCTATGGTAGACATGCCTATAGAAGTCCCAGGAAATGAACACAGGACCTTTCCTATGTGAGTCCAGTTTCATCAGTACCGAACCACCACCTGATCACAGAAATTCTTTTAAAAAATAAAATTACTGCCAGAGGATGTATGTTTTGGGAGAAAGAAAGAGCACAGCCAATGGGTGTGGTCTCATACTGTAGCCCTTTTTCCTGTTTCTACATCCTGTCAGGATTTTGGGCACATGTGCACATATCCAGCATGTTTTTCAAGCCACTGGGACCAGGATTTGAACCACCATAAGCACTGTAAAACCTGGCTCACTCAACCACTGCCCTGCGTGACTGGCCTGCAGAACTTACACTTTTTTCTTTTTTATTTGCCAGAAAGCATATATTGGGAGAGGGGAGCAGAAGCAAATCCCATCCCCCACATGGGGAGGGAATGGGTATGCCACAACCCCTTTTTTTTTTTGGAGAGGTTTTTGCTATAGAGCGCGTGCGCTCGCCAGACAGACAGAGAGAGAGAGACATAGAGACAGAAAGCGAGAAATCACCCCCCAGGGGGGATGGTCACACCGCAATCCCTTCTCCTCCATTCTCCTCCTGGGATCTTGGGCACGCACGCACATGCACCCGGCGTGAGTTTTAAGCCACCGGGTCCAGGTCGCGAACCGCGGTTGACTACGTGGGAGTCCAGCGACATAGCCACTACGCTAACTGCTGGTTCCCCCACAATCCCTTTTTCATCTCTCTTTCCTTTTGAGATTTTTGGACATGTATACACACATGCCTGGCATGATTTTCAAGCCTTCAGGTCCAGGATTTGAACTATGTAGTCAGTCATGTGGGATCCCACTGCTTTAACCACCATGCCACGGGCTGGCCCAGAACTCCTTTTAATGTAATGTTTGTGTAGCAGTGTACTGATACTGTGTTTAGTTGCTGACCTTTGAATGCATATCGTTGTGAGAATAGATATATTGATGAAGTTAACTGTGGCCACATAAGAGCTGTTAGTCAATATTAAATCTGACTACAGAATATTAGCACTATATTGTCTAGACTAATAGAAATTAAACTTGACTTTCTGATCATACAGACTTATGAGAACACTTGATAGTCAAGGCAAGTGCCTAGAAAACTGAGTATTGGGTATGAGTAGATCAAAAGAGGAATAATTCAAACACTGATAACTAAAAAATATAAGCATCTATAACAGGGATAAGTGCAGTCTGAAGGAAGGAGATGCTAGGAAGCAAAAGTATTGTTTGAAAAATAGTGTACACTGGATGCTCCCGCTCAGCTGGCTGAGGCCACGGTTCATCTCCTGGTGCACATTAAGGAGCTGAGTTGAGGTAGTGAGTGCTAGTGGTCACTATTGCTCAGGAGGCTGAGGCAGGAGGGTCACGACACAAAAAGGCTCTGTCTAAAAAAACGTAATACACATGTGTATAAAACATGCACAATGTTGGTTGAGTTAGATGGAGCTCTTTGAGAGGTTTTAGTTGTTATTTTTGTTTTGCTGTAGGGTGTGTGCACTCTCCAAAAAGACAGAGAGAGACAGAAATCACCCCCCGGGGGGATGGCCACACTGCAATCCCTTCTCCTCCATTCTCTTCTCAGGATCTTGGGCATGCACGCACATGTACCCGGTGTGAGTTTAAGCCACCAGGTCTGGGACTCGAACTGTAGTTAACTACTTGGGTTTCCAGTGACATAGCCATTATGCCAACTACTGGTCCCTAGATGGAGCTCTTTGACTAAATTGACACAGTATTTTCTTCTTAATGTGATATAGTTGGAAATCAAGAAACATGGGTTCTTAACCCATTTTGGTCAGTTTAGGAGCCATGTTTCTTAGACTTAGTTTCCTTGTTTATAAATGAGCATAGTACTCTGGATTCCCCAAGGTGATGTTATTACAAACAAACGAAATAAAAAGTACTTTATAAAATTGTAGAGTGTTCTTCTCATAGAGTCTCTTAATTCAGCAGAATAAATTCCTGGGGAAGATCTATCCGATGAAGAGAAACAGAGGACATAAGAAATGTGAAACTACTGATCGCTCTTTTTGTTGACATCTAGGCAAAAGTTGTGCCTCACTTCTGCGAGTTGAACCTTTCGTATGTGCCCAGTGCCGCACAGATTTCACTCCTCACTGGAAGCAAGAAAAGAATGGTAAGATTCTATGTGAGCAGTGTATGACCTCCAACCAGAAAAAGGCTCTGAAAGCTGAACACACCAACCGACTGAAAAATGCTTTTGTTAAAGCCCTACAGCAGGAACAGGTAAGAATTCTAACTTCTGCTCACCAGCTCCCTGTCCAGATTTAGTTTGCTCAAAAGTTTGTTACTTCTAATATGGAGGACTTGTCCACGTGACCCCTACAGACCTCTGGACCCAGGGAGGCCTACGTTCCCTTTTTATCTCCTAAACTATTCTATCTGTCCCACTTCGTTTTGACTTAGTATTTCTGAGTGGGTAAGAGTATAGGAACATATGGGCCGGCAGGTGGCATGGTGGTTAAAGTGGCTAAATTCCCACATGACCAATATGGTTTGAGTCTTGACCCAGTGGCTTGAAAATCACTTGGGGGGAGAGGGGGAGCAGCAGGTGGTGTAGTGGTTAAGGTGTTGGACTCCCATGTGGTTGGCAGCAGTTCGAGTCCTGAACCTGGTAGCTTTAAACCCATGCCAGGGCCATGTATGTGTGTGCCGAAAATCCCAAGATGAGAAGGGATTATGGTGTGGCCATCCTCCCTGATGGGTAATTTCTCACTTTCTGTCTCTCTGTTTCTCCAATGAGCATACATACCCTATAGCAAAAATCACTCTGGATGTGTGTGTGCCCAAAATCATGAGAGGAGACTGGAGGAGAAGGGACTGCCGTGTGGCCATCTCCTCTCAGGAGTTATTTCTCACTTTCCTACTCTCTGTCTCCTCTCTGGCAAGCACACACACGCTATGGCAAAAACCCTAAGAAAAAAAAAAAGGTTAAAGTAAAGGAGTGAAGGCTTGAGACTCGGTTTTCTCTTAGCTCTAAAATAAGTTCGTCTCTTCTCAACCTCATTTTCTCCTCATACAAATGTATTTGGGAGAGAATAATTTGTATTTGTACCTAAATCTCTTGAGAGAAGTAACTATCTGCAGGCCATGTTTAACAGAGAATGACAAAGGGAAAGGTAGATTATTAAGTAGTCCCATAAAGAATGTAGTGGTAGGCATATGTGAAGATCTACATTATTTATAGAATGCGAGTGTCTAGGAGAAGGGAAAATGTGTTGGAATCAGAACCCATTTCTCTATTCTGTTTCTCACCTCACCCATCAAACTCCTTTGTTTGGATCATGAGTGGGTAGATTTGAGGCAAAAACAAAACTGTAATAATTTATCAGCTTTAATTATATCAGTCAGCGAATTGCCACTACCGAGATTCCTCTACCCAACTTCGTTTTTTTTTTTTTTTATAATTATTTATTATTTAATTTTACTTAATCATTCATTTAATTTTATTTGACCAGAGAAAGGAAGTGAGGAAGCAAGCCAGCAAGCCACCGTCTGGGACTCAAACCATGGTCGCCATGTGGGAATGTTCAGTGCCTTAACTACACTACCTGCTGCTCCCTCTTCAGCCAACTTCTTAGAGCTAGCTCTCCTGGAGAAAGGGATTCCTTAGTCATTGAAGCAAGTTGGTTGTTTGTACTAAGATATCTCAGTGTAGCCATTCTACCAAACTCTGTTGCCTTTTTTTTTTTAATTATTTAAAAAGAGAATAGTTACACATTTATTTATTATTATTATTTTTCTAATTAACCAGAGAGAGAGAGAATGTGAGAAAGCAAGCCGCTAGGTCTGGGTTTTAAACCACAGCCGACCATGTGGAAGTCCAACACCTTTAACTACCACACCACCTGCTGGCCCCTGCCTTTCTTTTTTTTTCTCCTTTTGTTTTTTCCAAGAGAAAGAGACACCTCAGCAGGGTCTTCATACCAGGATCCAGGCCAGCGTGTGCACAGGGGAGACCTTGGGATACTCACCCATGACTTTCTCATGTGGCCTCAGTACTGCAAAGCTTTGTGTTACTACTGTACCACCATGGCTGGCCTTTTGCCTTTCCATATTCCTTCTAGCTGGCACCATTAGTGATAAGATTTCTAGGTTTCTGGTTAGGAATTTGGATGTTGTCCTGCCTAAGCTGATATAATAACTCCCAACAGGAAATTGAACAGCGATTACAGCAGCAGGCAGCCCTCTCCCCCACTACGGCTCCAGCTGTGTCCAGTGTCAGTAAACAAGAGACCATCATGAGACATCACACGCTTCGGCAGGTAAGAAACATTTCCCCAGGCTGGCTGGTAGCATGGTAGTTAAAGTGGCTGAATCTCACATGTCTGACTGCATGGTTCAAGTCCTGGCCCTGGCAGCTTGAAAAACACATTTGCCACATATCCGTATATGCCCAAAATCCTGAGAAGAAAGTGGAGGAGAGGATTATAGCATTGCCATCCCTCCTGGCGGGTGATTTCTTACTTTCCCTGTGTTTGTATGTCTCCAGGGAGCACCCACACCCTGTAGTAAATGGGGGTGGGGGTTAAGGGAGGAGACAAAAAATATTTTTTCCCCCAACCCTGATTTCTCTTAGTTTGTCAACCATTTACTTCAGTTTGTCATTCTATGAGAAAACATACCCCTCTGGGGGCTGGCAGGTGACATGGTGGTTGGGGTGCTGGAGTCCCACATGGCCTACCGTGGTTTGAGTCCTGAATCGGGTGGATTGCTTTCTCACTTTCTCCCTCTCTCTTTCTGGTGAGCATATGTGCTCTATATGAGATTGAAATAATAATAACAAATAAAAATAAATAAATCTTTAAAAAAGAAAACATACCCCTCTTCCATACTCCCATACCTTTGCATCCTGCTTAACATTCCCTCATAGCAATGTTCTAGCAACTGTCTCCTCATCGTTGCAGGCTCCACAGCCCCAGAGCAGCCTCCAGCGTGGCATACCCACATCTGCCCGCTCCATGCTTTCAAACTTTGCACAGGCACCTCAATTGTCTGTGCCAGGTGGCCTCCTTGGTATGCCAGGTAAGAAAGGTTCATCTGAAAACTTTCCTCAGGGGATTGACTGATTGGTACACAATTCTTTAGTAGCCCCTGTAGGTGAGTTGTTCCTTTGTTTTCTGTTCTTTCTTTAAGGCATACTTCCTCACTCTTGTTTTTTAGCAGATGTTTGGTAAATTCATATTAGGTGATTTGGTGGTGAAAAGACAGTTTCTACCTTTATAAACTTAGTATGTTATAAGCCTTCTGTGGGCACGTGGGTATTGGTTTCTTTTGGTTAAGATAGCAGGGTCAGCTGTCCTGTCGTGTGAACGGTCCAGGCATGCTTCTCCACAGTCAGTAGCCCCAAATGCAAAGCAAACAAAATGATTACATTTCTTTGTGTTGATCATATTCCTCTCACCACTGTCTTATCTCTCTTTTATGTGATCTGGACAATGTTCAGTATTCCTGAAATTTCAGGGATACCTCTT